GTGAAATAGCTCAAATGGTTCTGAATCAAAGTGATCCTAATGATAATAGTGATGATGATGACGACATTGTTAACACAGTGGAAAGGTGCCAATAGATAACAGTGAAAATATGTTGATGGACTTATTGAAGGACTAGAGCAGCATGCATTTGTAATACAAGAAATCACGTCAGTTATAAAATCAGAGAGAGAATTGCTATGACAAAAATCACCGTTATTGACACTGTAAGAAACACGAAAAAAAGCCATCCCGCACGGTGCTTTTCCCCATCCTAGAGTATCCGCTTCCAGGTCCCTCAACTGCTTCTGATGTTCCTTCTCAGTGATGTCATCAATGATGTACCCTCTCTCTTAAGTGTCTATCTAAGACCTGGTGCAGTTGTAGTGTCAGGACCTGCATTTTATATCTTCTTTTTGTAAGCAGTTAATATGTTTTTTTTTGGTACAGTACTTGTACAGTACCATGTTTAGACTTGGGTCCCATCCCCAAGCTGTCCCATATTTTAGATGCAAATATAGAAATATTCCAAAATCCAAAACACTTCCAGTCCCAAGCATTCTGGATAAAGGATTTTCAATTGTACTACTACCACCACCACTACCACTACTACTACTACTACTACTACTACTACCACCACCACTACCCCATTACCTCTACCACTACTACCATTATACTGCTACCTCCTCTCATTCTCTTGGCCCCGCTCCCAATTTCATAGACAGTGGTCCCTCAATTATCGTCCATAATCCGTTCCTGGAAGTGGGACTATTATCGAAATAGACGATTTTCGAATAAATTTTTCCCCCCAAAAGAAATAATGTAAATACAATTAAATTCGTTCCTGACCCCAGAAGTATTAAAAAAAAATTTTTTACATGAAATATAGATGTAGTACATAAACAGTAAAATTTGGCACCTGATGAATGAAACATTAACAGCATAACACTTACCTTCATTGGCGATTCTTCTTAGTGTATGGGAGACTGGAGGAGGAGAGAGATTGAATTACTTTTTGGGAAGGGGAAATCCCTTCCATCAACCCCTCAGGTACCAAGTGCTTTTCGGGGGTTTAAACTTCTCTTCTTGTTTCTTAATGTCACTAGGACCAGCTTGAGAGTCACTGGAGTCCTGTCTCGCAAAAAAAATGTCCAGAGAGCTCTGTTTCTGGCATCTCTTCAAAACTTCCCTAAAAGGGGCCCAAGACACTGTCACTGTACAAAGTTGCCAATAGGGCCCTTGCAACATCCTTCTCAGGGTGATGTTTCTCCATAAATCTTTCCACCCTACCCCACATTTCAAAAATCTCCTTAATTTCTGAAGAAGCACCTTCTTCCATCTCTCTTCCTCCTCTGCAGCAAAGATTCTGAGCTGCATCTGTTGCTCTTCCTGCTGAAGCTCTAGCAGCTCCTCAGTTGTTAGCTCTTCGTTGTGGTCCCCCACCAACTCTTCCACATCCTCCAAACTCCCATCCTACCCATGAAACTCCCAATGCCACAATAGAGTTCACAACTGAATAGGCTCATCAGGGTCAGCCACAAGCCCTTCAAAATCCCTTTGTGGACACAATCTGGCCACAATTTTTCTCCAAGCAGAGTTCGAAGTCCTGGTAGTCACTCCCTCCCAGCCTTACCTATAAGGCTTATGCAATGGAGAATACTTAAGTGTTCTTTCAAAAATCTCTTAGGGTCAAGTGAGTGTCTGAGGTTGCATTAAAGCACCTTTTCCCAAACATTGCTTTGGTGTAGATTTTTTTAAAAGTTTGAAATGACCTGCTGGTCCATGGGCTGGAGGAGTGGTATTCGGGGGCAAGAATTTTAAATGTGATGAATCCAAACTCCTTCAGAATTAGGTCACCCAAGTTTGGACGATGAGCAGGTGCATTGTCCATTACTAGGAGGCACTTGAGATCCAATTTCTTTCCAGGAGGAAAATTTCTTCACATTGGGCCAAACACTTCACTGAACCATCGACGAAAATGTCCCTCGTGACCCATGCCTTACTATTAGGTCTCCAAAACACACAAATTTACTCTTTCATAACATTGTTTTTCTGAACACTTGGGATTTTCAGAATGGTACATAAAAATGGCTTCACTTTGAAATCCCCACTAGCATTAGCACAGAACATGAGCGTCAGCCTGTCTTTCATAGGCTTGTGTCCTGGCAGTCCCTTTTCCTTCCTGAGTAATGTAGGTCCTCTTTGGCATTTTTTTTCCAAAAGATCCTGTTTCGTCACAACTGAACACTTGTTCAGGTTTCAGTCCTTCAGCCTCTATGTACCCCTTTTAAATTCCTGCACAATATTTTTCAGCGCTTTTTTTGGTCCGAACTGGTAGCCTCACCATGCCTTACCACACTTTTGTATGCCAGTACGCTTCTTAAATCTCTCAAACCAGTCTTTGCTGGCCTTAAATTCACTCGCATCACTAGTTGCAAGCAATTTTTTTACCAAATCGTCATGCAACTCCCTAGCCTTTTCAAAAATTTAAGCGACATCATAAGACTATCTCCAGCTAATTGTTTCTCGTTTATCCACACCAAATAATAACTTCTCAACATCTTCTAGTACTGGTGATCTCATTTTTGTCAGCATATTTACCCCCTTTTGCAAAAACAGCTTCCTTGTTTTTCTTTTTCTTGGCTATGATGGAAGATATGGTTGTATGGGATTTGTTATACATCCTGGCCAGTTCAGCCACATGTACGCCACTTTCATATTGTTCAATGATGTTTTTTTTTAAATTCAATCGTATCTCTCACCTTCTTTTCCAAAGGCTTGGCACTAGGAGCTTTCTTTGGAGCCATGGTAGCTTATTTAGCACTTGCAAGCACTAAAATGAATGGAATATTATGAAATATTTCATACGAACACATGAGGGGGACGTCGCTCACTGGGTAAACAATGGCACACTGGCTGGGAAGGGAGGCCGAGGCGGCTCTGACTGTGAGTACACGTCCAGGATAAAGACGATTAGCGAGTTTAACGGATCATTTGCGAGCCAATGTTTAGACGAAATAAGGGACTACTGTATTTTGAAATGGACGACTTTCAGGCTGGACGATTTATCGAGGAGACAAAATGTATATATACATATATTGGTTTTCCCCTTTCCCTTTTTCGCTTCTGTGTAACTAGTTAATGGGGCCAAAACATTGACGTATATTTTATGCTTCTATGTGGTTGGGGTTGTGCACAACTGTCAGATGAAGGCTCATGATCCTGTTACAGTAAACTCTATGAAACTATTTTATAAAGGTATGATTTTTTTTAAAATGCATCTGAGAAAGTGCATTCAAAATTGAATGGCATGCACTATGATGGCCTTTTTTTCATGCAATTTCAATTTTGGATGCAATTTTTCAACGCATTTACAAAAAACTGCCCTACATAAAAGAGTTTTATAAGAGAGCTTATCTTATTTTCCATTGAAAAGGCATAGAATGTAAGGCAATATATTTGGGAAATTTACTTTTCAGGACTTTTGTGGACCCTAACTCCTTCCACCATAAGGGGCTTTTAATAAAGCAATTTATATATACAGTGGACCCTGCCTTACGATGGCATCGCGTTACGTTAAATCCACCATACAATACATTTTAACGCAAAATTTTTGCCTCGCCTCACGCTAAAAAACTCGCCTTACGTGATTCGTCCAGGACGCATCCCGCATGTGGCTCAGCACCAGTGTTTACAAGCCAGCCAGTGTGATCGCATCTATGCCCCACATTCAGTACATTTCACATTATCCCAGTGTTTTTAGTGCTTGTAACTGCAAAATGAGTACCATGGACCCCCAAAAAAGCTTCCAGTGCCATCCCTGTGGTAAAAGGGTGAGAATTAGTATGGAATTGAAAAAAAAATTAAGGAAATGTGTGCAAAGTGGGTTGAACTGCAACCTTTATGGATGAAAATCACCCTCACACAGCTATTGCAAGCCATGCTGGTGACTATTACAATGATAATGTTGTGAAGCACTTTAGACAAATCATAAAGGAACGGAAGTACAGAGCTCTATGGACAGATATGTTGTGCGACAGAGGTCCAGTGACTCTCAAGCTGGTCTAGTGGCATTAAAAGAAGAAGGGAAGTAACCCCGGAAAAGGACTTGATACCTCAAGTCGTCCTACTGGAAGGGGGATTTCCCTTCTAAACAATAACAACTTCCACACTCTCCCCTCCTCCCATCCCATCAATCATCACCAAAATTTTCAATAAAAGTAAGTGTCATGTATTCTATTTTTAGGAGAGTATTAACTGTGCATGTCTTCTTCAGTTTGTGTGTATTAAAATTAATATTTAATGTGGTAAAAAATTTTGTTCTTTCATACTTTGGGGTGTCTCGCACAGATTAATTTGATTTCCATTATTTCTTATGGGGAAAATTAAATTCGCCTTACGATAATTTCGGCATACGATGAGCTCACAGGAACGGATTAATATTGTAAGGCGGGGTCCACTGTATATATTCAAATTTAAAGTTTATTCTCTATAAGGATTACAATGCTGAGTTTACAGAATTTGGTTATATCAATCACACTAAAATGTATAATATACTATCTGCCACTTAACAGAAATCTAATTTGCTTTTATACAATGAATTTTTGTGGGAAACTGATTCCAAGTATTGAACATGTGAGTTATCAATAAAATTCAGGAATGCAGCTGTTGCAAGCTGGGACACTGTACTAAGGCTCTACTGTAAATAACATGATAGTATCTTAGTGAACACTGCACCCTTAAAGTATAGGTGCCTTAATGCTGCTGAACAGCTCCTGATCCAAGCACCTAAAGGGCCCTGTTCATAATCATAAAAATAATAATAATGATAAAATAATAAATAAAAATAATCACCCTGCCTCGGTGGGAGACGGCCGACTTGTTAAAAAAAAAAAAAAAAAAATTATAAATAAAAATATAATAAAAATAATAAATAAAAATAATGATAAAGGCCTCACTACAGATATACAAGGATATAAAAACATCAATAAAAGTCATCTTACCAACAAACTGCACAATATCACGCTCAGCATATTTTCCTTCAGCACTGAGACGGTTGTCATCTCCGTCCAACTGTTCCATAGCCGAGAAATCTTCGTTGCCAACTCCTACAATAATAACTGACATGGGCAAACTGGAAGCGTGAACCAGAGCTTTACGAGTCTCGGGCAGATCTGTAAGATATTCAGCAATTATTATTTATATGCTGAACACAATAATAATTAATTTTGGATTTTATAATTTTTGACTACCTGTTCTTTTGTGAGATTCACAAATGCTTGCACATCAATCTATAAATACAACAAATATAATTAGAAAAATACTAAATGAACATAAGCTCTGGAAAAGAGATGTGTTTTCAACTGAATATATTCAAAAACTCATATCTGATATAAGTTAACACAAAAAATGTTTGCCTATGGCACTACACTATGTTATCAAAGTGTGTAGATTCAGGACTAGGCGCCTAAAGTATCTTCCATGTAGGTACAATATATACAGTAGGTCCCAGGTCTATAGTGTTCTGCTTTAACAACAGTAATAACAGAACTAATTACAGTAATGACATACAAACATGGACTTTCTCTTCTGACATATGAGGTTATATATAATGCCATTTATCATATACATTTCATGTATATGAGGAAGAGCCAGTTGTGAGTGTGGGGGAAGTTCGTGAGGCAGTAGGTAAAATGAAAGGGGGTAAGGCAGCCGGGATTGATGGGATAAAGATAGAAATGTTAAAAGCAGGTGGGGATATAGTTTTGGAGTGGTTGGTGCAATTATTTAATAAATGTATGGAAGAGGGTAAGGTACCTAGGGATTGGCAGAGAGCATGCATAGTTCCTTTGTATAAAGGCAAAGGGGATAAAAGAGAGTGCAAAAATTATAGGGGGATAAGTCTGTTGAGTGTACCTGGTAAAGTGTATGGTAGAGTTATAATTGAAAGAATTAAGAGTAAGACGGAGAATAGGATAGCAGATGAACAAGGAGGCTTTAGGAAAGGTAGGGGGTGTGTGGACCAGGTGTTTACAGTGAAACATATAAGTGAACAGTATTTAGATAAGGCCTAAAGAGGTCTTTGTGGCATTTATGGATTTGGAAAAGGCGTATGACAGGGTGGATAGGGGGGCAACGTGGCAGATGTTGCAAGTGTATGGTGTAGGTAGTACTGGAAAGCAGTGAAGAGTTTTTACGAGGATAGTGGGCTCAAGTTAGAGTATGTAGGAAAGAGGGAAATTTTTTCCCAGTAAAAGTAGGCCTTAGACAAGGAGTGTGATGTCACCGTGGTTGTTTAATATATTTATAGATGGGGTTGTAAGAGAAGTAAATGCGAGGGTCTTGGCAAGAGGCGTGGAGTTAAAAGATAAAGAATCACACACAAAGTGGGAGTTGTCACAGCTGTTTCTTTGCTGATGACACTGTGCTCTTGGGAGATTCTGAAGAGAAGCTGCAGAGATTGGTGGATGAATTTGGTAGGGTGTGCAAAAGAAGAAAATTAAAGGTGATACGGGAAAGGTAAGGTTATGAGGATAACAAAAGATTAGGTGATGAAGATTGAATTCAGATTGGAGGGAGAGAGTATGGGAGGAGGTGAACGTATTCAGATTTTGGGAGTGGGAGATTTGTCAGCGGATGGGTTATGAAGATGAGGTGAATCATAGATTTGATGAGGGAAAAGAGTGAGTGGTGCATTGGGAGTCTGTGAGAAAAAGAACTTTGTCCTTGGAGGCAAAGGGGAATGTATGAGAGTATAGTTTTCCAACGTCTTATATGGGTGTGAGCGTGGGTGTAAATGTTGAGCGAGGAGAAAGGCTGGAGGCAGTGGAGATGTATGTTGAGGGCAATGTGGGTGTGATTAATGCGGGTGAATTCGTAGTTTGGAAGTTAGGAGGGGGTGTGGGATTACCAAATGTTGTCCAGAGGGTGAGGAAGGTTGTTGAGTGGTTTCGGACATGTAGAGAGAATGGAGCGAAACAGAATGACTTAAAAGGGGTGTATCAGTCTTTCGTGGAAGGAAGGCGGGGTAGGGGTTTGGCCTAGGAAGGTTGGAGGGGGGGGGTAAAGGAGGTTTTGTGTGCGAGGGGCTTGGACTTCCAGCAGGTATGCGTGAGCGTGTTTGATAGGAGTGAATGGAGACAAATGGTTTTTAATACTTGACGTGCTGTTGGAGTGTGAGCAAAGTAACATTTATGAAGGGATTCAGGGAAACCGGCAGGCCGGACTTGAGTCCTGGAGATGGGAAGTACAGTGCCTGCACTCTGAAGGAGGGGTGTTAATGTTGCAGTTTAAAAACTGTAGTGTAAAGCACCCTTCTGGCAAGACAGTGATGGAGTGAATGATGGTGAAAGTTTTTCTTTTTCGGGCCACCCTGCCTTGGTGGGAATCGGCCAGTGTGATAATAAAAAAAAATAATATTTCATGAATTCATTTTATGCATGTATTTTTTTTTTTAACACACGAGCCATTTCCCACTGAGGTAGGGTAACCCAAAAAAAGAAACACTTTCACCATCATTCACTCTATCACTGTCTTGCCAGAAGCATGCAAATACTACAGTTCAGATGAGCTTCGAAACTGCAAACATTCTCATCCCTTCTTCAGGGTGCAGGAACTGTACTTCCCACCTCCAGGACTCAAGTCCAGCTAACCAGTTTCCCTGAATCCCTTTACAAAATGTTACACTGCTCACACTCCAACAGCTCATCAGGTCCCAAAAACCATTTGCCTCCACTCCTATCTAACATACTTTCACATGCCTGCTGGATGACCATGCCCTTTACACATAAAACCTCCTTTACCTCCTCCCTCTCATCTTTCCTAGGGTGACCACTACCCCACGTTTTCTCTCCTACAGATTTATACACCCTTCAAGTCATCCTATTCTATTCCATCTTCTATAAATGTCCAAATCATCTCATAAAACCCCATGGATATTGCTCTTAGTAATCCCGCACCTCCTTCTCATCTCCAAACTATGAATTCTCTGCATATTATTCACACCACCCATTGATATCAGACACATCTCCACTGCCTCCAACCCTCTCCTCACTGTAACATTTGCAAATCATTCTTCACACTCATGTAAGAGTGTTGGCACCGCTAAAAGATGACCACTCTTATCCTAACTAGACTTGGTAGTTTTTAACCCTTTGAGGGTCGCCAGGCCCTCTCAGACTTGTTCTCAGGGTCGCCAAAATTTAAAAAAAAAAAAATTATTTTTTTATGAAAAGATAGAGAATATTTTCCCAATCATAATGACACCAAAAGTATGAAATTTGATGGAAAACTTACGGAATTATGCTCTCGCGAAGTTAGCGGTCTCAACGATGTTTACGCATCGGCGATTTTTCCCACTTTGAGCCCTATTTTTGGCTAATTCCAGTGTACTAGTCGACAAAAATCATAACTATTTTGCTAGAAATCCATTTTTTTTATCGAATGAGTACAAGAAACCACCCATTTACCGATTTCAACTATCCAATAAAGTGGTCAGAATTTAGCAATTTTGCCAATTTCCAAATAGGGTCCAGAATAAACAAGAAAGACATTCCTGGCACTAAAATAACGTTTCCTCTGTTCATTAGTCACGTCCCCACGCCCCTCTTACATTTCTTTTGCTTTCCACTTTGATTTTTTCTCACAACAATAATAAGATTTACTGTTATGCAGACTACTGCATTAGTGTAGAAATGGTATAAATAATATCGGCGCACTTGTGAAAGAATATTAGACTCACCAGTTGACGTATATTGGACGCTTGGCATGATTTGTTTACTTTTGAACTTTGGTAAAAATCGAACATTTTGCTATTTTGAGCTCAATTTCAAGGCACTTTTCATTGTAAAACCAGTCAAATTCATCTCAATTTCTGTAATATGTCTCTTCCATTCTATACAATGAGACCAGGAAAACTAGAATACAACAATAAATACCATACTAAAATACAGTGCAAAGTCACTGTTTTACACCAAAAACACTGTCAAAGTTTTTTTTTTCTCATTACGCACTGTGTGCTGCAGGATTTTTTTTATACTGCGCACACTGACCACATAGACCCATTCTTTCATATGTAGGCCTACGAGCTTCCTCTTGCTAGATTTGAGGGCGCTAGAATTTATGCGTACTAGTACGTCAAAAACCCTGGCACGTAAGCTGTACTAATATGGCCGAAACCCCGAAAGGGTTAAGTACAGTGGACCCCGACTTACGATATTAATTCATTTCAGAAGTCTGTTCGGGTGCCATAACCGAACGAATTTGTTCCCATAAGAAATATTGTAAACTAGATAAGTCTGTTTCAGACCCCCAAAAATACACTTATAAAACAACACTTACATAACTGTTCGAGTTGGGAGCTGATCGTAAGTCAGGGGTCCACTGTATTAGGATTAGTCTGCCCAAAATGCCCTGGCTGATAGTGGCTTTCTTTGTATATGTACTTAACAAATCAAAATTGTAATTATACATTGTTACGTTTGCAAAGAAATAAAATGTTTATCTTTTCTACTATTAATTTTATACATTTCCCTTTTGCCTCCATGGAACATTCACCTCCTTCCCTTCATCAATTCTATGATTCACCTGGTCTTTCATAGACCCATCTGCCAATAAGACAACTCTCAAATATCTAAACACATTTACTTCTTCCATACTCCCTCCTCCTAATCTGATATCCAATCTTTCACTGCATAAATTGTTACCCTCATTACCCTGCTCTTTCCTATAATAATAATAATAATAATAATAATAATAATAATAAATAATATAATAATAATAATAATAATAATAATAATAGTAATACTAACTACTACTACTAATAATAATAAAGATTAGGTGACAAAAGATTGGATATCAGATTGGAGGGAGAGAGTATGGAAGAGGTGAATGTACTCAGATATTTACAAGTGGATGTGTCAGCAGATGGGTCTATGAAGGATGAGGTGAATCATAGAACTGATGAGGGGAATAGGTTGAGTGGTGCATTTAGGAGTCTGTGGAGACGAAGAACTTTGTCCATGGAAGCAAAGAGGAGAATGCATGAGAGTATAGTTATACCAACACTCTTACAGTGGAACCTCAAAAATCGAACTTAATCCGTTCCAGGAGTTAGTTCTAAATTCGAAAAGTCTGAAATTCGAAGCAATATTTCCCCTAAGAATTAATGGAAATA